ATGCAATAATGTAATAGTTTACCAGCATTTTAAAATTCACTCACAACTAAAAAACGTAATTTAAAAGTATGCTGTACCGTGTCTGGTGTTTGATACACTAAGAAGACTTCTGACTCTTTAGTGTTCTCAGCACCAATAAAAATGTTTTGTTTGTTTGATACACTTGGGTTCCCTTTGTCTAATTTCTGTGTGTAATTTAAGCGTGCGTTCGTCTACTTTAGCGGCATTTTTCGCCCTCTTGCATTAGTTTCGGTGTCTCCAGATTAAGTCATACATGAAATTAATTGAGTGTGGCCTAATAGTTAATTATAGATTATATTCCTATGTTCAGATTCATCTCTGAGCTGCAGGTGGTGGTAACTGTGCGGTCTTTTAAATAGTGAAATTGCACCATATTATATAATTAACCTACACCTGACCCAACTGAATTCACGGACGGGTTGTTTAGAATGTCTGAAAATATATAAGTGAATGCAAAACAATTCACCGTTAAATCAAAATCATTGTAAAACTAGAATTAGCACTGGAAATTATTTTATATAAAATTTGATAAATATATTTTGTAAAATTTAAGTTTCAAAAGTACTGAGCCTTCAGTATTTGTTTTTTTGGGTCTGTCTCAACATGATTGTGACGGTGTCCACTAATTTCATCATATTGTGCTTGCGAAGACAGCAATGAAATATAACAGTTTGGTGGGAACAAAGGATTCGCGTGCAACCCCTTGAAAAAAATTGTAACATGCGTTTTCTTAATACTTGATTTCTAATTTTTTTTTTATTTCTAGGTGTTCCCAGAACAAAAAACTGTCTCACAAGGATTTACTTTAATGCCATGTGACACACTGTGGCTTGAATGGGCGAATTTTAAAACATGGGGGAAGGGGAAATACCGGTATAACATTCATAATTTAGAATTTAAATAAAAATGAAATAATATACAATTATTCAGGTGATTTGAACCTAGAATGTTTGTATGGGGTCTATTTGGTAAAATATATCCATATTGCAATGCTTAATGGGATCGGGGGAGTTAATTTTATTGTGGGCGAGATTTGTAACTGCTATTATTACTGCAGAGGTGTTCAGCTAAAGTGGCAAATATGGGGGTAGGAAATTACATAATTCACAGAATAGTATCTAAATAAGACAAATATATTATTTATATGTCATTGTGTAGTTGAAAAGGGCTCTTTACGCAACTAATGAGGCTTGAGTAACATTGGATGATGTCTAAGTAAAATGGAGTCAAAAGTCAATGAGACCAAATCTTAAGTACTTTTATTTAAACAAAGAAATAATGTAACCTTGGTTGGTTACTGATTAATGATAGAACCGCAACTTGAAAACGCAGAACGACTTCTATTGAAGTTCATGTAGATTTTTGTTTTTCACACACGGGCTACAGGCTGGCACGCAGGCAGGGATAGTCATGGCGATCATTAAGCAATTGCTTGCTTGATGTTATATAAATTATGACAACCTACACGTATATAATGATATTTTATTCAATAGAAAGAACTGTAATCTAGATATACAGGGTGTTTTTCAGTTTATAAAGGACTGAATAATGTCAATTAATCTCCTAGTTTAAATTTTAATCAATCTCAATTTAATTATATTGAAGTTCTCTAGAAATATATGCCTAAATTCGTTAATTGGCTTGTCTCTTGCCATAAGAATCACTTAAATATATTTACGTGCTTCTTCCTTTGTATCACTACATATATAGAGATCAGACAGATCATTATAGACTAATTTTTTGTCATTCGAACCGAAAGCGTGGATTGCTCTTACTATCTTAGGACACTCCAGATCTCACAGCCAGAGAAATAAACGTCGGAATCAGTCAGTTTGCAGTTGATCTCTAAAAACATGTCATCGATGATGGGTTACCTGCTGGCGAAGTAACTAAGACCTGGCGTCCCTGTGATAGAGTAACCAAGGCAGTAAAACTAGTAACCTAATCTTACAGTTGATGTAAAAGTCCATGTCCATACCCTAACTGTATTTGGAAAGTTTTAATTCCATTAATGATTAGCTTGTTTATTAAATCCGCTAACATTTCATTAGCAAGGCTTCATTTGATAATGTACCTCCATGCATGATAGGAGACTTAAGAAGATAAGTAAACTTGATCTAAGGTAATTGAATTAAGATTATTGTTTCTTCAAGTCCCCCGTAAAAGAAGTCAACCTTAGCAATATAGTGGCCAGTTAGTCAAGTAGATATGCTGACGACGTTCATTGCGGTCGGTCACTGTGTATTGTGCACTCACTTGTGGAATCAACCTCGCAAAATGTGAATGGGAAGGTAGGCTCATTTGTACTTTAATTGAAAATCTATTAAACTCCGCTGCGTTGACCAGCGCACTTTTGGAAGATTTTTCCGTTTGTGTTCGTTTGATTCATAGTGGTTTCGTTCTCCGTGGTTGGTAATCGTCTGCTTGACGTGATGGTAATTAACAATCCTCCCATTAGCTCCTTCAAACATACAAGGTTCCTTCTGGTTTATTGCATTTCCGAGAAAAGTACCAGTCCACAGTACAGTGTATGGAGCCCGCTGGACCGACGAGAATGAAGTTCTCATTTGATTATTTTGATTAATAATACAAAATCGATGTTACAGACTATCATTATATACGTGTAGGTTGTCATAATTTAAATAAGATCAAGCAAGCAATTCTTCATAATATATACTAGAAATGACCGGTGTGACAGGAATGGTAGTCCTAGGAATGGAAGCCCGTGGTCTCATTAGATTAGTACAGGTTAGGGTTAGTTGGAGTATTGGGATTAGTACATGTGTATAGGACAGATATGAGAGGGGACTACGGTTCCTAGCGGACGACCATTCCTGTCACAACGTCTCTCGCTCAAACTCTGAGGATTCCGTATGTCATCAATGTGGCTAAATACTAGGGTGGAGTAGGTCGATTCTCTTTGCACGTGCTCTTTAACTTGTTAGATTGTCGGGGGATGTTACTATTTGATAAACAATATAAGATTTGGATCAGGGACATAGCGGCAAAATATACGGGCTAATTGCTTTCAGTGAGACTGGCCAGTCTGAGATTTCAAATGATGGTCTGGTGTTTTAAATGTTTTTAAGAGTTACAATTGATAAACCACAGCGCTCACCGTGAGGTGCAGATTTCAAGAATTCACTGTGGTATTGTATGTTTTGGTCTATTTCTCAATGTTGGACATAAGAAAATGTTGTAAATACTACGCCAGCGCCTCAGGCATAATGCAAGCAAATAAACTGAATAAAAAAATCTTGGGGGAGGTAAAGGTGAAAATTGGTATTACCTTTATTATTCTCTTATTGTTATTGCTGTTGACAATTCCATTTATTAAGATAATGCCGCAGTGAGTAAAATGCACCACAGACAAACACTTATATTGTTCAAATAAATGGAAATAGGAAAATGCCATCGCCACCTGCATAGCCTGGACATATACATGTAGATTTTCAGTAGAAATATGGACTCTCCCCCCCCCCTTCTCTCTCTCTGTCTCTCTCTTTCTGCATGCAACTGTGTTTACATTAAGGCGCTGCAGGGTATCACCCATTACTCTGTCATTTACCGGATTGAATAAATTGTCTGATATCCTTTAAAGGATAATTACTGTCCCGGAAATATGAAAATATTGCAAATCAGCCTATAAGTATCTAAAATGGATGGGAATTATGTAGTCAATTAATTGTATTGTTCGAAACAAATAAAACTCCTCAACCAGACAACTGCGTGTTCAGAAGCTGTTATCTGGAATGGTTTGAAGAGGGATATTTTTGCCACAGAAAATGATGTTTTTGTTCCAGGTAATTGCTTGGATTTTGCCTTTCATTTTGTCGAAAGGCGTTTGTTAAAAGCTTCATTATGATCTTTATGGCAGTATCGGATATTGCCGCCCACGAAATATTTGTTTGGTTTATTCTGTTGTTTGACTGGACAGATGTGTGAACGGGATTTTTGTTAGTGTGAACCCCCCCAGACTCCACCCATTCACACCCGCCCCTGCACACGACCAGCAGTTGTTTCAGTGGTTTGTCTGTCGGTGCGGTTTTGAGACCGGAAATAACACTTACGTCCAACAGTCGAAGTAATCTGACTTATGCTTTCTCGATTATCGCTTAGTAAAACTGTATTAGCCTTACAAGATAGCTTATGAGCTATATGATCCACATAATGTAATGTATCTTATAGAGCCTTTTTAATCTGTATTACAAATTGGCTGACGAAGTAATCATGGAACGTAACAGCTGTGTCTATAAAAGGATAATAAATCGTGTTTTGACCTAATGACAGTTTTTTTATAAATATACACATAAGACCCAATTCCCATACCTAGATCCATCTAGGTACCCCCTAACAGCTTCAGTAGGCGTGTCAGACATCAGAGCTGCTTAAACTGAAAGCAATTTAGGGAGAAACCCTTCGGAGATTGGTCGATCCTGCATATGAAGTCATTTTTTTTGCCACCAAAGCCAACCAAATGCCAGCATATAGTTTCAAGTAAAATAACTAAGAGAATTACCTAAGGGCATTGTTAAGTTTTACCGAAAAATGATATTTGAACGTTTTTTCCTGCTAGCTTTCTATGCTGTATGTCAATGGGGCAGAAAAGTAGGTCACGAAAGTAGGTTAAATTTCTGACCAAAAATTTAAAGAAAGGAGCAGTCTAAAGCTCTTTTATGGCTGATCGAATGATTTATTCACTTTATCCCTAGGCAAGTCGAATTTGTTTGAGTCGTATAAGAAACTTGTAGAAGTGGTTCATATGTGTTACTGGGAATCCACGCTCCACCGATGCTCGGTTCGTATGTACCTTTAAGTGTCGTAAGGAAAACAACGTTTCAAGAAAATGTAGGCAATGCAAATCCCGCGTGTAATACCACATAACACCTTTGAGGGTTTTTACATCCTTGAAAAGACACAGTGACTTAATTGTCTGGTCTGATCTACAGTATCTGTAGCGTGCTATTTAGCGCCATGTTCATGCCACGTTCACTTCATTAACAGATCCGACAGATCGGATGTGCAGCAAAGGTCATAGATTTCAGTGATCATATTGAAGCAGATGATGAGCAGATGAATATGGCGTTTACATTGGGTAGTCCACGGGACAAGAAGCCTTACCACAGTGTCCAGGACGGCGTACATCGTCCATTCTGTCAATACTGAATTATCAGCTTTATATCTTAGTACCACAGAAACATTAGGAGTGTGGCGGACCGGGTTCAGGGGCATGCTTCATAAATACTGGAAGGCCTATCACTGAGTAATATATATAGGCAGAGATATATAGCCCCATGCCACCAATGGAACCTCATGGTACATATGGCTCCTATAGGTTCTGCAGATTATTCGCAGAAGTTATATGTATTTAGATATTACTGTTGATTCATAACATCACTGAACAGGAAAGCGCTACGTTCTAGACTACAAACAGTTTGAAGAGACATTCAAGCACTGAGGCCATACTTACGTTATACCACTGTTAAGACATAGAGTAAAACTTAATTAACACTGATTCATTTTGCCTCGATAGTGTAATGATGTCATTGAGAGTCCATTGCCAGCCTCTTCAGCCACACCAGTGACTGGCTGGCAAACTCAGAAGAGAGAGAGAGATCTACAGATAACAAGCCACATTGGCGACATGGAGAGCAAGGTAAACATCCGGCAGAATATGTTGTATGGTAACATCTGGCTCTTTATTCCGTGGCCGTACCCCTATCTAGCCCCTGCCCCAGAAATTTTTAATGCACAGGTATGTTGAGGGAAATGTGCCCAAATTCCTGTCTCCTGTTGCCCCCAAAAGATGATTCTAGAAGCCGCACAACGTTTACAGATCCCCTGATCCCTCAGTGAAGTCTAAGATGTGTTGGGTGGTAACTGCACCAGTAACTTGCAGGCGCTGTATGCACGGTGTATAAGTACTGCATATTAGTACATTTAGAACAGTCAAGGTATATGCATGTCGACAATGGTCTACATGACAAATCTGTTGTGATGGCGGAACCTGAAAAGCCTTTACAGGAAAAGTGTTGTTTGTGCCGTATGAAGGGGTACGTCTTGTGTTACGTGTGTGCGTGCGTATGCATGGGCGTGTTCGACGTATATGTACATGCCGGTGAGTGTCTTTGGCACGTGTGTATGTGATTGTACGTGTGTGCGACGTGTGTATATTTGAATGCCAGTCAGAGGAAGCACATTCCGTTTGCGAAATCTTTTACATTATAAAACATTGGGGATCTGCTTCTCTTGGACCCAGGCTGGTTTCTATCCCCCCTTCACTTCGTGATATTCTCGAGCTGCCAAGGAAAAATAATATGGACTGTTTCTGCACCTGCGTATACAAGTATTACATTTCAGCAAAATCAGCTAATTACATTTCATATTTATGTCACAAAGCTTTCATCAGACGGGCAATCCCGGGATCGATCTTATCGGTAATAATAATTATTTTTTCTTCGCAGTTTTAAGACAAAGCGCAGTCAAGTCAGCATTTATACGTATCGGTGATTACACTTGCAATGACAGACTTATGAACGTATAATTCATATCTTCTCCATCTGTAGTTACGACATAAAGCAGAGCGATGCCAGGACACTAAATTAATTCTACACCAATAGTAACATCAATAACTGGCATCACAGTTGTTCTGGGAGTTCTCCAGAGACGTGGAGTTAACGGAGATATAGACAGCTGTCATTAATTATTGCTCTGTAAGCGCAATGGATAAAGGAATCGGAATTTGTTTTTAATATGCAGTTTTTGGATTGAACCATAGAGGCAGTCATAAAAACAATATTTATGATAGTAAATATGGTAATAAAAGAGTGTTCTATTTTTCAGCAACATTGTGCATATGGGATTCATCATTCAGCGTGTCATAATATTAAATATTAACACCAAAGAAATGCATGGTATTAAATACAAGTAGATAGATCTTGCGAACGCGTTTGAACAAAGTTCTGTAAATAAATAGAAAGAAATAATATTGCTGTCAACAATGATATACAAAAAGTACGAGTGAACTTTCCACAGATAAAAGAACCAGTTTATAGCTGACGTGTTGGCATCAAGCAGTATTTCAGAGCGTGACTCTGCATCCGTGAACAGAGTGACAACATTAAATACAGTTCAGCCAAATGATGGAACATACCTGTAACTGAAAAGTGCTAAGGAGAAAAAAGATAAAGAATAACCTCCGCCAAATTAACAATATTGCGGCTAGAACTACTTTGGTAGTTTGCTAAACGGCGTAGACATTGTAAGGTAAATGGAGCCCCTGCATTAATGTAAAACGAGGATTATTGCGCGTTAGTAGCAATTCTGTCGCAGAAAATCAATTTATTATTGATGAAAAGAAACATTACTCTTGGTACATATATGCCTGGTGGCTTATGTGATTGACAGGTGTCACAGTGGCATCACTCGCACGAGGATTCGTGAAGATCAAGCTGGAAGTTGACAGCTTTCTTTTAACTTCTTAAGTCAATGTATCCGAAACGACCCATCACTTAAGCATCAGATTTAGAATTCGGGATAGTGTAATAAGTGGAGAAAGAATTTGTCTTATTATTTTTATCTACATTTCGTTTCATCAAATCGTTGGAAAGACACTCATTATGCTTCTCTGAATGTCATTTATAGTTGCAAAGCTATTATCTCTTATTGGCAATGAGTCCTTGAAAATCTCGTTCGCACCGCGCAAGTGCTGATTTCAATAAAAGAGAGAAGCCATGTGAGGACAAAAACAAAGCGTGGTTTCCGGGGCGATCCTTTATATCTAAGAGGAAACCGCTTTACGACATTTTATTATGTAAGAATAGATTCATACTCTTGATATTTCTTCGTAAAACCACGATCACTCAGCAGAGGAAGGACAGAGAGAGAGAGAGAGAGAGAGAGAGAGAGAGAGAGAGAGCACGTGTTGTGTTAGAAATATATGGTGTACGCTGCAAGCCCCTTTACTGGTACTTGTGACATTTTTTCCACAAAAATTTATTTTTTTGTGATGAATAAGTATTCCTATCTATAACTAAGTAAAACGTGTGGGTGTATGTTGACCTAGGAATGATAGTTAAGAGAGTTTTTGGACAACCTTGACGAAAATGAACATACAGCGATATGTTATTTATATACCCTTTTAAACGATAGAATATATTCATAATGGCTGGAATGTGAAACCAAGTTAAATAACCCGTTCAACAGAGCAAGCTTGCACTGTAACTGTTTTTTTATTGGCCAAACAGACTTGCTATTTTTAAAGTGGCAGTTACGACTTCTAATGGATATCATGTTTACTAGCGAAAGCTTTGAAAGAAGTTATTACCGCATCATCAGCTGTTTCTGTGGTCTTGAGTTAGCTATTTAATCTCATGCGTCTGTCGTGACGTCGTTTGCTATATTTTGCGGAAAATTTATATGGCCAGTTTTTATGATGCCAAGCTACACCAACACTAGTGATTGTCGCGATCATCAGGATTCCCAAATATTCGTGATAAAACGGTATTTTTGACAGACGATCCGTTTTTATCATTTGTCTGTTACGTAATTTTTGCTTGTTATGATTACCTAGCTGCAAAATTTTGCAAGAAATGAGACCATCTGGAGTATTTAAAGGTTGTCGTGATAGGATTGTTTGAAAGAGTTCAAACTAGTTCAGCTGGGAAACGCACACCTGTCTATTAATAGCTATCCCACCACCTAAAACACCGCCCATATATCTGCTACACTCGTTTCCAGTCGCTGCACGCGCCATTAACCATTGCGGTGTAACATGGGTAAGACGTACCCGCCTGTACGGTAGTCTGTCCCTGGATGTACTAGCAATTCCATTATAAGTGTGAAAGATCTAGATGTCATTGCTGGTCATGAGGTACAACATTCGGACTGTTACGACAAAGGAAGAAACGAGGGAACGTAGTTCGTTCCTCGGCAAATAGACCTCAAGGCAGTGCTGGTAGGCTGCCTCTGCGGTCTTGGGGTTATGTTTGTCTTGATTTGGAACGCATGCGGTTTGTGGCTGGTCCATTATGTAGGCGGTGGTAAGAAGTAGGCTCGGCAAACACTTATATTAATGTTTCTGTTTATGGCCCATTATTTGTAATTAGAGACGCACCAACACTGGCAGTATTCCGAGCATTTCAAAGGTATTGTGTTTTGATCTGTCAATTTATTTGAAACGCTGTCATTTGATTGAAGATCTGAATTGATAGTACTTTAACTGAACGAATATGCTTTATATTATGTCGTTAGTTATGGGTGTAAGTGTTTAAGTGTTATTACCTGTGGTACCGGATACCATACTAATGTATATTAATTCTTTGATACAGCGGACAGATAAGGGCACTGTGTTCCAAGCATTACAGAATGCTAAAAGCTTTCCTATGTAGGCAGCAATGACAGCCTGCATAATAAAAGGTTTAACTGAAGTGAGGTCATAATGCTTTTTTGCTGATTGATCTGTAATTTCGCGGACAGTTTCTGCTGTTATGGCAGAGTTCAGCCGCCACCTGGGGTCAGTAGACCTGCAGATAACAGCTGGCTGCCTGACCGCTCAGGACTGTGGACCGTCTCCCGGTCGGTTTCAACATTTTCAAGGTTGTATCCTTATTACAAATCTGGACAAAATTTTGTATTAAAAATCTTTGGAGTTCGTTCTATCTTTCATGTAGAAGAAATGTACGTGCAAGCAGTATTGATGAGAAGGTCATAAACAATGCACGAAAACCGCAATTGACCTGCCTTTGTAAAAGATTACATGGTGTCTACATAGTGAACATAATTATTTTGATCTGAAAGATTTAATTATTGCAATATGATAAGAAATTATGCTCAATATTTGCGAAGTTCAACTGAGGTGAATAACTGCTAGACGACAGTTTTGCATTTTATAGACATCTGTGTAAAAACCGACTACGTCCAGTGGACAATCTAAACAGACAAAGAAATGCTCAATCATTAAGTGCCATAAATTAGCTACATATAGCTATAAGCCTATCAAAGAAAATGTGTGTTCCCTCAGTGTATTGAACTATTTACAATTGTAATAAGTAATTTAAACAACGTATACACTGTAATTAATAATCTTAAACACTGTATTAGTAGTAATCCATAGTGATGTATAACTATTTATTTATTTATATATTTGTAGTATAGAGGGCTAACAAATGTAACTGCCACATTTAATGCTCGAATAAATTATTATTATTATTATATAAAGTCCAGGCATGTGCCTAAACATTTCCACGCGGATCTACAAATCTTCAAACAAAAGTAAATTTCAAAGTAGTTAGTGAGCGGATGTGCTGGAATGAACACGATTTGCAAACAAGGAAGTTATAAATCTCTAACAAAAATATCGAAAAGAAATAATAGAGCACGTGGGATGTATGTGCTACACTGAAAGGGTTGCATTTGAAGAGCGGAAATTGTTCTTTAGAACCGAGTTACAATGCAGCTCTAGCATGAACATCAATGAGCAGGGTAGTGTTTAAATGATGTATTTGTCTTTGAATTCATACCTTTTCAAAGAACGTCGTGTAACAGGTGCGTTTTATTAACTGCATATCCTTGCGGAAATTGTGACAGAGTTTTTGTCTGGAAATAAACAAAAGCGTTGTTGTTTGGTATCTTATTGCTTTTTTCTAACCTTTGTAT